GGATCTCACTGTTTGAATGCCATTGATTGTTTAATAAAACATTATAAAATACTAAAGTTTGAATACATTTTTCATAACACAAGTTTACAGAAATAAAAAAATTGTCCGACTGCAATTTTTTTATATGAATTCTAATGTAAAATATTCTGCCGGGTATTCTCCCGAAACCAGCATAAATATAAGAAAGTAGAACAGTTTTTGACATACATATAGACAAATTCATTAATAGTCAATTTGTATAGAGTCCTTTTGTATGTACTTTTTCTTAAGTGCTCATAACTTCTACATTTATTATTCACTTTAGATAAGCAGAGTCTTATTGCATGTGAAAAGGATCACACTTTCGCCCCCTACAAAAAAAAAAAACAGGAAGTAAACACATTTCTTCAAATTGATGTTTTTACCGAAATAAGTTATGCAAAATTGTCGATAAATCAACCAATAGCTCCTAAACCGGTTCGAAGAAAAGAAATTTCGATATTGGTTAACTATTTCAATAAAATTTGCAATTAAGTGAAGGTACTTTTTTAAATCTCAACAAAACGGAAATTTGGTTATTTCTCAAAAATTGTTCGGCTATTTTTTAATTAATTTCTTACTCGGATTTAACGGAAAATTTTACATAAGAAATGATGGTTAAATGAAACAATTCGGAGCACTTGTCGACTAATGTTATCATTTGTTTAATAAAATTTGTGAAAAATAAAAATAATTCTAACAGGGACGAACATTTTACGTGGCAATGCAAGCGCTTTTTCTACTCATTTTGCTGTCAAAATGCGAAAACGAAAGTGCACTTTCTCGAGTAACCGCCCAAAAAGTCCTTTTTGCAGATTTGCAGAGAACACCTTACGAAATAACAATTGCAAAGTGTAACAACTGCAACTGAAAGAACGCAAATTGCTTTCGAGAAATAATTTCAACTTGCTCCTACCGCACTAGCAATTTTCATTTTTGCTAAAAGTGCTGTCAAACCAATCGAGTGTTGCCGTGTGAGGCGTTTTGATTATTAAAATTATTTACTTTAATCTACTGATATGAAGTATTCAATTATTAATGCATTAGACATTTTGTGACTGCACAAGCACATTTTAGCATTTTTAGCAAATTTTCAGGTCATTAATTTTGTTGTAAACGAGAAAAAGTAGTATCGGAAAGTTTGATTTTCAGAAATAAAAACTGCTGCAATCTATTTTGGAAATTCTGAAGTTGGACAGACTTTTGAAAAGGACTTACACTTGCCAAGTTTAACAGCCACTTAACTTCCTGTCCTTATTATTACTATCAGCAAATGTGTGCAATTTTATACATATGCCCTTTTTGAGTGCATCCCTAAATGGCTGGCCCGAAATCAATGAAATTTTAGTGGGTTGTATAGGTAAAATATTTTGTGTGATATAAAAAAGGACCTATCTGCACTTGGGATGAACAACTGGCGCATATCCGCAAAGGAAAGAGACAATAGGTGAAGTCTTTTGTATCGACCCAAAGCGACAAACGCTTTTTGATGCCAAATAGAAATAAAAAGAAATAAATATGCACTTATAAGTTTTAAAAATTATTAAAATCCCAGTTTTATCCGCAGTGCCACCTAACGTGTCAATTGTTTTAAGGGTTTATGTAATGATCACTGTTCGACGAAGATTCACAAAATTCATCACAATGCATCGTTAGGAAAAGATCATAAAATATTGAAGAAACTTTCTTGACCAAAAAAAGGTTGCAGGATTACGCTATTGTATTTGCATAAATATGTATATACTACATATAATACATGAATGCAGCTCATTAAAATGGATTGAAATACATACATATGTGTTTACGTGTCTGCTCATCCTAACAAATCATTTAAAGCGATTTTAGATTCACAAAACAAATATCATAAAGAAACTTTTTCTCAATAAGTCTGGGGCTTGTGGTTGGAATGGAATTTTTTTGCTCGTAAAAACGAACTAATTATATTTGCAATGCGATTGATCTATATTCCAGGCATCTACAATCGACGGTAGGCGAAAGGGTGCTTGCCTCTTTTGCCAGGAGTACTTTATGGATTTGTATCTGTTGGCAGAACTGAAAACTATCAGTTTGAAGGTGAGAAAATTATAAACTTTATTAGTTCAACATACATTTTGTATCATGGAATTACATACATATGTATGTATGTATACATACAAAACGTCGTGTTTATTTACAAAATTAAGGTTACAACGGTTGACATGCAAAAGCCACCTCCAGACTTTCGCACCAACTTCGAGGCGACACACCCGCCTATTCTAATCGATAATGGATTAGCAATCCTTGAAAATGACAAAATTGAAAGGCATATCATGAAGAATATTCCTGGCGGTTACAATTTATTTGTACAGGTAAAACAAATGTTTTTTTTTGTCTTCAAAGTAAGACTAGACGGTTTTTAATTTTCATGTTTCTCTTTGCTTGCAGGATAAAGAAGTGGCAACACTGATCGAGAATTTGTACGTGAAGCTCAAATTAATGTTGGTAAAGAAGGATGAAGCCAAGAATAATGCCTTGTTGAGCCACTTAAGAAAAATCAATGACCACTTGGCTAATCGAAATACACGTTTCCTAACCGGCGACACTATGTGCTGTTTTGATTGTGAACTTATGCCGCGACTGCAGCATATCCGCGTGGCAGGCAAATATTTTGTGGACTTTGAAATACCGGTAAATAACAAAATTGAAAGAAAAAAATTAATATGCGGCGGTAGGCACATAATTATGGACACTTCTTTCTTTATAAGTTTTGACTACTTATTTTTTCTTTATTTATTATTAATAAATTTTTTAGAAAAGTATACTTTATACTGCAACGAAGACCATGCGACTCAAAATTACAAAGCTTTTCTTTTTTTATTATGTGTTATGCATTTTCTTCCATACAAAGTAATTTTTTTTATGAGAGAAAATGAGCAACAACGTCAACAAAAAAATAAAATCAAAAATTAACGCTTAAAACTTGAGTGGGCTATAAAACTGCATACCCGAAATTTTTCTAGAAATTCTAAATAAAAAGATTTTGATGACCATGTTGTGAAATTTGGTTATATTTTGTTGTTGATTTAAATAAAGTAGAAAAACTCGGCAGGCCTTCCGATGTTAAATAGTTTTAAGTAAGTGATTTTTCATCAACTTTTAAACTTTGAGTTACTTGATTTTCGTTGGATGTAAACCATGAGACAAATGTTACAAAGTAAAACCGTTCGCTCGATTCGTCGGCCATCATTCATTTTTTGAATTTTGTCTGCTTTAAAGCTTCGAAAATTTTCAGGCTATATTTTTGTAAAACAATAAATGAAAAATAAATAAAGAAAACATATACATATGTATGTTCTAACATTTTTCACTTAAATTGCTTTCGTGCAATTGGCTGTAACACTTGTAAAGAAATAATAGAAGTAATTATGTGGCCACCACTGCATATATATTCAATTTAAAGCATGATAGCTATAATTGTTTGCTTTACAGACACATTTCACTGCATTATGGCGTTACATGTATCACATGTACCAATTGGATGCCTTCACACAATCGTGCCCTGCAGATCAGGACATCATCAATCACTATAAATTGCAGCAGGTGAGTGCTGCCATATTTTATTTACGTAAATATAATTTTTTTTTACACATTTTTTTTTTTTATTTCAGATGCTAAAAATGAAAAAGCATGAGGAGCTTGAAACTCCTACGTTTACTACTTCCATTCCGATCGATATTACTGAGTAATGCAGATCTTTTGTATGTGGTGTAATATGACCAGAGCAAGTTGAAACGTTAGCTTGCTATAACCTTAGACCGTATAGCATTAAGAAGCCACGCCCCTGCTTTCAAAAAATAATTCCACTTTTTATAATACACGCTTGCGTATACCCACTTACAAAATAACATGTGAAACATAAAATAATATTCCCATTTTTTAATAATATAATTGAAATAAAACCTAAACCATATTTTTTATGTACTATATGGGTGTATTCCTAAGAACATAAATACACATAGTACACTATTCTACAGTAGATGAAAAATATTCAATATGCGTATGCAGTTGCGCCAATTACATAGGAAAACGTCGAATGTTGCTCTTCAATTATATTTCTTAGTAAAGTTTGTTTTTGTATTTAATTTGCAATGTGAGCACAGTTCAATGGCGTCGTTTTTGATAAATGGGCATAAGTATTTGAAAAATATTTACACTAAGTGCGATTATTTTTAATTAAGTTTGATTTGTTGCCAACGTTTGATTTAATTGCATTCATTAGAAATACTTTTTAATGTTTACGATAAGTATTTAACAAAGAATCCAAGATTGACGAGGACTTAAAAAGTTCAAATTATAATGAAGCAAGTATGCCATTACATCAAAATCAAGTACATTAAATTATTAAACGCAATACGTTACACCGTTTACAACCGTTTACAATTGAAATAAGAAGTCAAAAATTAAAATGAAATCCATTAGGAAATGTGAAATATTCTCCGTATTATTTTATATCTATAGCTATGCGAACCTACTTAAAAATAGGATACAATTGTTTTGTATATACAGATTATATATTCATCAAATAAAACAAATAAAATTTCGTACATATTTGATACCACAAAAATGCATTTGTATGTTTTTATTTTGAGTGGAGTCATAGGCTAGACTTAAGGTTTGGCGGAAATGGCCTTTCAACAACACGAAATTACCGTTTGGATCAAAATCGCAAGCCCATTGAGGGGCATAGATTTTTGCCCACCGTTCATGAAATTGTTTAGATATATGTATGTAGGTACATACAAAAATGAAGCTTAACTTATGTCACAACTAAAAAAACGATATACAATAATTTCGCCCCAATCTGATGAACCATTTTTTAGTAGAACTCCACACCAAGTTAGCTCTTCGGTATTCAGGTGTTCAGTGTGTAGCTGAAGAAAGGTATGCACTTACATATATTTACCTGATTATTGATTTGGTTTATTTTCTTACAAAACCTGACAACATTAATTTATCTCTTAGAATAACAGGTTTCTTACAATGCATAAAGCCGTATTTACAATTTTTTTTTTTTAGATTTTTCGTCAATGTTTTATCTTAAAGGGACGAATGTATTTGACATGATGTTTAAGTCTCTTTAGATCTGTCGGAATAAGGCATTGAAGAAAAGTATTTGTTATGAAGCCTGTAATGCCCCAAACTTTATTCTGGCCGACTACGAAATTTGGGGTACTCCAACCTGATTTAAATTGAGTGTGTTTTATAGTTTTTGGATGTACCAATTCTTTTATAGGTATTGCCAATGCTTCCTCTACTTCGTCTTCATTGAGTTTTAATTCTTTTAAATTAAAATTTTCTACAGTGCCCACGACGGGCATTATAGCGGCAGTATTTGGCGGTGATATAAGGTTGCCTGTTCCCCAGACATTTATGCGTCTGCGTGGTAAACCGATCTCCTCTTCAGTTTCGCGCAACGCACAATCTATGAAATCCACATCTTCAGGATCCTTTATGCCACCTGGATACAACAGAGTTTAGCAAGAGAAAACTACAACAAACTTAACCGGCTTACCAGGAAAAGATATTTGTCGAACATGCCTAGAGAGTCGACCCGAACGGCGGGTATAAAGTATTGAGATCTCTTTCTGTAAAAAAATTTAAATAAATAATTATAATTTCTTTAACTGATTACTTGATGATCATTTCCAATTACTATTTAGGCTCATTACATTTTTTCTCTTTGTGTCGTGATCTAACTTTGTCTAATATAATATTCACAATTATTTTCATGAACATTTTGCTTCATCGACTATTTATGTAGTTCATTCTATAACATAAACCATATAAGTCTCACACTTTATTATAAAGTTCAAACAATTTTCATCAAAATTTAAAAAATTAAATTTTTAAAATTTCCAGAAAATTTTCGAGTTTGCAGTTTTGTAGACCGTTCAATTTTAGTCAAAAAAGTGCATATTTCATTACCGTTGAATTTTTAGAATTTATTTTTTGTGGAGGGTGTTGCGCATTTTCTTCCATATAACGAGCGATCAACATCTATTTTTATATGGAAGAAAATGCGCAACGCCCTCCACAAAAAATAAATTCTAAAAAATCAACGGTAATTTTTAGCGACTTGAAACTTGTACTTTGTTTTACTAAAATTTAACGGGTTAAAAACAGCATCTCGAAAATTTTCTAGAAATTCCGAACAAAAAGTGCCTACTCGAAAACTTTCTGGAAATTTTGAAATTTTGGTTAAAATTGTTTGATTTTTTGTGAACTTTATATAAAGTGTGGAACTTTGATTTAAATGGTTTATGTTATAGAATGAACTATATTTTCATAAATAATTAACGAATAACATTTTTCATGAAAATAATTGTGAATATTATATTAGAACAAGGTGTCCACTTACATTTTACACTGTATGTAGGTATATACAGTCAGTGTCAAATGTAAGTGTACACCTTGTTCTAATATAATGTTCACTATTATTTTCATTTACTAAAAGATTGTCACTACTCAAATAACGAAATTTATCAGAAGAGTTTAAAAATTGCAATTTTTTCGCAAAATGTAGAAAAAAGATATGCTTACTGTCTACTTAAGCGGAAACTAAGCAAGATATTCATCAAAATTTCAAATTTTTATCAGGATTAAAAAAAAAAATCGAGTAAGCAGTTTTGATCACATTAAATTTAGTACAAAACTGTGTGAATTTAAAGTGGCTAAGAATGCGACTTGATTTTCAATAATTTTTTAACTACTTCATCACATTATTTTACTAAAATTTAAAACGCTAACAAACGATATTCGAATTTTTTGAAAATTCTGATTATAAAGTTTAAAATTTGGATGAAAATTTGTTTAAGCAGGGATCACACGATTTGTACGTTTGTACAGTTTTGCACAATTTTACAGTTACAGAGTGGGGTTGTTGGGATTTTTTCTATTCAGCTGATCTCATTCTCGATCAAAATTTCTAAACGCCACCCTGTAACTGTCAAAATGTACAAATCTGTACTAATGTATAAATCGTGAGATCACTGCTTTATATGGTATTTGTTATAGCATGAACCATGTTTAATAAAGAATTTACGTAAATGTTTTGACATAAAAAACATTGTCAATATTTAAAAAAGGAGCGACCGCAGGATTATTCAGCTAGGTGCATGCATCGACGTAGCCAGAATGAAATTTAGGGGGGCCTCGACCCTATTAAGCTGGCATTTCAGGGTACTATTTTATATATATATAAGGAAAATTTGAAAGTTAGGGGGGGGTGCTCGAGCACCCCCCTGCCCCTACCTGGCTACGCCCATGGGTGCATGCATTTGCATATACAGTCACTCACATAAGTATTCGTAATTTAGTATTTTCACAAGATTCAAAATGTTTTCTATCATAAATCTTTTTCATTATTTTTTATTTAATTTACAGCTCTTTCTATAACAAAAACCGTATAAATCAATCTTGCAAACCTTGTACAAAATTCAAAAAAAAATATTCAAACTTTAAGAAACTTTCATAAAAATTAAAACGTTTTTATTCAGAATTACAAAAAAAAATGTAGTTTTGTAGCCCATTTAAATTTAGAATAGTAATGTGCAAGTTTCAAGTACCTATAGATTACCGTTGTTTTTTTTTTTTGTGGCGGGTGTTGCGCATTTTCTTCCATATAACCAGGGTCGAAGAAAATAAGCAAGAAAAAATCAATTTTAAGCGCTTAGATAAACATAGCCCTGAATATAAAGGATGAACAAAAGAAATTTTTATATGGAGGAAAAAGCACTACATAACTCGTCCGCTGCGGTTTTATACACCCTGCACGTTAAATGGCGGGTTAAACATTTGGCTGTTATCAATCAGCTGTTAGTGAATTTAGGCAGATTCTACAAACTTTTTATTCGCGTATTATTTCCGAAATCTTTATTGTATTTTTAAGTTAAATGTACTTAATTGGGGACTGCCAACGACCTTAAACGCTGCAAAATTCGAGCGAATGTGAATGCATTTCCCTATGTTAATATTTTTGGTGATGCATTTACTAAGCTTACCCTTTCATTTGTGCAGAGGCAAATGAGGACGGCAGCGAATGTTTTTTCGCGAGTTGTCTTAGACGACCTTAATCCAACTGGTGTCGAGTTTTCCATACATTGTATTGAACGTAGCTTGTTTTCCTCTGATAACAGAATATCCGGTCGCAGCAATTCGTCAACATTCTTACCTTCCTCATTATTATGGTTATGTACTCGTATATGGTTTGCTGTAAATAATGTTATATTGCGTTGTATGATTTGAAAAGGAATGTATTGCAAACACTTTCCAACCAACATTATTATTTTTTAATATTAAATAAATTTGCGAAACGAGACGAACTTATTAATAAACTGTGTACTTTAACCAAGGCACGTTTAATGTGCCTTGACTTTAGCACAGAAGTTTGTTTTTCCTTTATCTGCTCTTATCGATATACCGATAGTAATATTGTTTTTATATCGATACTTAAAGATGTTTATTGGCCCAAAACACACAAGAAAAGTTATGCAACACAAGGGCTTTGTTTCTTTTCTTTTCTAGCAGATAATTATCAGGAAGAAGAAGAATAAGAAAATTGAAAGAATTACGCTCACAGAGAGTGAAATTACGAAAAAGTAAAGAAACGCAAAACTAGCAAGTAATCAGCTGATCGGTATATTTGACTATTGAAAATATTTGGCGCGATTTTTTTTGTATCCATTTTGACAGTTGCTAGTTTCTGCTAGTAAAAATTTTAATAGCAGAAATTAGCAGAACCAAAAAAGGAAGAGCGTAAGATCGGGAGAGAGCTGCTAGTTTTTTGGGTTTCCAGCAGAAATTAGTGATAATTATCTGTTAAGAAACAAAGCTAAGTTTTTTTTCTTCGTCACAACGAGATGAATAAAATTAGAAAAATATATGCGTCAGTAACGGCTTCTATATGTATTAGTGTCATTTGACGTTGATTTCCCAGCCAGCAGAAAAACGTAATTTTTGCCGACAATGGGATCTCATACAATTCTTCTTATCAAAAAACGTTCAAAATAAGGCGCGGTTACAGAAAAATATTTCAATTTTGATTCGTTTTCGTACTAGAAAACGTTCGTAGACGATGACGTTTCATATGTTCAAAGCTGAACATTTTAAAGCATACATACCTAGTTGGCAGACGCTTCTTTAATTGTTTTCGAACCATGAAAAAGCATCTGTGAAGCACAGAAGGAAAGCCTGAAAAGTGGAAAACCCCAGCGAGCAAAGAAACTTAAATTTTGCCGACAGTGCAGTCTAGTACAATTTTCCGGAAATGAATAGAAAGCGACTACAATTTTCATTAATTCACGTATCCAAGAACGTCCACAAAATAGTGGTGGTTTTCGTATCCGGAAACAAATAGAAAACTACTACAATGATCATTCATTTTCGTGTCCGGAAAACGTTCGAAAAAGATGATGTTATTTGAAAGCAATAATTGTATTTAATTTGTTCAAGCTAAACATTTGCAGAGGAGCGTGTCGCTATTTGTTAGCTTCCAGAAGGTGTCGTGTTCGAATCCCGTCAGGCGCTTCCTTAATTTAATTTAATCTTATTTATTTATTTTTTTAACCATGAAAAAGGATCTGTGAAGTGCAGAAGGAAAGCGTATTGAACGAAAAATTCAATCAGACAAATTTCAGCAAAACAGCCAAAAAAGTACATATCCGTTTCACAAACAATTTTCGATACTTATCGTCGCCTGGGTAAAAGATTGTCGTAAGGGCCATTTTGACGATTTTTAGTGTTTTGTAGATGCAGTTGTCTATTTTGAAATAAGGTCTTTCGATTGGTGTTATCTGTTTTTAGATATATCCTTTAGTTTCCGAAATATTGAATACAATTTCTTCGATAATTTAGGAAAAATTTAGTTAGTGATGCAGTCATATTAAACTAATCAATATCTTAGAAATGGTGTTCTCCATTTTTGCATATATCTTTTAGTTTCCGAGATATTGACTAAAAAAAAGTCGTTAATTTAGTAGAAATTTTTATCACATTTTGTCGTATTTCATACAAAGTGGCTGCCAAATTGTGGACAAATGATGCTTACGACAGAATTTTACTAAAGAAAATCTTTCGTAAGATCAAAACTAATTAACAATAAACATTAAAAATTAAATAATTTAAGAGTTTTAAGAACTAGTAACATTTTTAGAGACTTTGGAAAAAAATCTATCCTTGCGGTTTTGAGAAATTGTATTCTAAGCTTCAATCGCGATTTCCCACAACCTACCGAAATTAAAATACGATAATCTTCTACCCAGGCGACGTTATTTGTACGTACGTTTCTGCCGCACTTTTTAGTGGGAAAACAGATCGTCAAAGTATCCGAAAATGGAATCGGTAAACGGACAAAAATTCGCACCTTATCCACTTTTTTTACTTTTCGGATAAATTTTGTGATTTTTTGCTGGCTGGGACGGATCGTCAAATGAACAAAAATCCGCATTTCATCCGCTTTATTTTCCTTTTCGGATTTTTGGCTGGTTGGTTATTCTTGTAGATTCGTGAATGTGTTAGTTTTGTGCACAGTTCGCCGTAGGATATCGGGTTAGACTAACTAGAGCTAAATTCTTGTAACCAGTTACTAACTTGGACCAAACATGCGTGAAGGCCTATTTACATTTAACAATTCGTGTCTGAGGCTGAGCACCAATTGTTCCTTTCTATATATCATTGAAACCAGAAACAGGTCAAATGGACCATTTTACATTACAAAACAAAATCAAAGAACTGGTACATTGTGCATTATATTCGATCCCCTTCGAAATACAATTGCCCTCAACTGTGTTTCTATGGCCCATGATTCTGAGCATTAAATAAAATTTTTTCGTTTGTGGTAGGGTAAATTAGGTTAAAATTACCTTCATTTGAGAGAAATACAAGTGCATTACATAAGTACATACGAGTATGTAATGTATGTATGTACTCTTATGTTTCTATTAAATGATTTTTGAGCAGTTACATCTTTCTTTATTCTTTTCACTATATCATAGCATTTCCATATGGTGCCTACATTTAGGCGTTCCTGAATCACCGAACTCAGTTGGCGCCGTTGACCATACACATGAAGTGTAAGTAAAAGTACTTACATGCATACATATGTACATACAGTATTGGACATACATATCTATGGCACCCCCATTTCAAAGTGATATTGTTTGCTACTTTTGTTTAATTATTTATTTTTAAGAATTTTCAATTAAAATTCAGTTCATTCTCTACCAGAACTCATGTAAACGCAAGTTTAAATCTTTTTTAAGACTCCACAAAAATGAAACTTTTCACTCAAATTTCAAATTTTTATTTCAGAAGTGTTAGAATTTTTCCGAGTGCACAGTTTTACAGCCCATTCAATTTTAGTCTTATAATGTGCAGGTTTCAAGTGGCTAAAAACGACCGTTGATTTTTTAGAATTGTTTTGTTTGTCGCATTTGCACAATTTGTTCTTATATGGAAGAACTCGCAACGCCTTCGGCGACAAAAAAAAAACCAACAATCAGGCATAATTTTGATTTTGGCCTGAGACCAGACAATAATGTTTGGCGCTGAATTTGAATGCTTCATTAGATTTGCTTCACTATCCAAGAATTTCGAGGTATTCAAACCTGACTATGCAAAATCAGATTTTTCTGCTATATGCATTAGGTATATACATACCTAAAAAATTACACCAACAAATTGTACGCTTAATGACAGTATGAATTACAACAAACACATCATTTTGACGTTTTGATTTCCATGGCGAAAAATTCAGCTGTTGCCCCAACACCACCTTATCACCTTACCGAATTCACCTTGATTGCTACTTAACAAATTTTTTTTCAAGGCGAATTCACATAAGGTGGTGTTATCAGAGCAGCTGATTTCAAGGCGAATTACGCAGACTGCCAAAATGATGTGTTTGTTGTAAATTTTTTTCGTTCTGATTGTCATCGCGCGTATAATTAGTGTAGTTTTTTGTTTTTGTACTGGCGCTACCAACTTGTATGAATTCGCCTTGCTTTTTTTTAGAAATCTCGATGTGAGATTTAAAAATATAACTCTTTCCCTTCAAAATGTTTTTTAATTTATTCTGATATTTTTTTTTGTACCGGAGGTATTAATAATAATAGTAGATTGGCGCTCACATATATAGTGGTCGAAATAATTATTTAAAAATATAGTTCATTCCTTAATAAAACTCGTGTAAATCCAAGTTTCACTCTTTGTGCAATATTAAAAAAATCAACAAACTTTCGTAAAAATGTCGAGCTTTTTTAAATAGATTTTCTTGAAAGATTCCGAGCATGCAGTTTTGTAGTCAATTTGGTTGAACATGTTACGGTTTTCTTCCATGCAAAAATAAAATGTGTATATTCGTTATATGGAAACAAATGGGGCAAAAAAAATCAAAAAAATCAACTGTATTTTTTTTTAAACTGAAACTTACACGGGGTTTTGTTACAGAATGAACTATATTTTTATAAAAAATTACAAAAATTAAATTAAAAAAAAAATTAGTATTAAAACTGGAAACTTATATTTTTGTGCTTCTAGAATTCAATGGGCTATAAAACTGCATACTAAAAATCTTTCTAGGCTATTATTATAAAAAAATACGCAAAATTGTCAAAATGCGGTGCGGCTATAACTATTTCCACCGCTGTATGTTAGTATTTGGCCGAGTTTCTCCGCCGATTTGTGGCGTGCGCCTTGATGTTGTCACACAAAAGGGAGGGTCCTACAGTTTTGCGCCGACTCCCAACTGGGAGGTTGCCATTGCCTGCTATTAGAAAAAACTTTATTGTTTTTTATTTGTTTGATGTTTGGTTGAACTGGACTTTAACCCAGGCTCTGCGAAAGGTAGCACGCACTACTAGGCACTACATCACAGCGATTATGTGGCTGAAAAACAACAAAGCTTATTGGGCCTTATGAGTGTGGGTTTAGACCTGGAAAATCCACCATAGACCAGGTATTCACAATACGGAAAGTCTTGGAAAAGACCCGCGAGAATAAGGTCGACACACGCCATCTATTTGTCGATTTCAAAGCCGCTTTCGACAGCACGAAAAGAAGTTGTCTTTATGCCTCGTTGTCTGAATTTGGTGTCCCCGCTAAACTAACACGGCTATGTAAAATTACGTTGACCAATACCACCTCCATCAGAAATGGGAAGGATCCTTCCGAGCCGAAAGATTGTAATAAGAGCCATGGAACTGAACCGCTCAGGCACAATACTTTACAAGAGCGTACAATTTCTGGCGTNTCGTTGTCTGAATTTGGTGTCCCCGCTAAACTAACACGGCTATGTAAAATTACGTTGACCAATACCACCTCCATCAGAAATGGGAAGGATCCTTCCGAGCCGAAAGATTGTAATAAGAGCCATGGAACTGAACCGCTCAGGCACAATACTTTACAAGAGCGTACAATTTCTGGCGTATGCCGACGACATCAACATTATCGGTGATCAAAACAAGGGCTACGTCTGTT